AGCACAATGTTTAAATTTAGGTTTTTTTTTTTTTTCTCTGCGACATGTTATGATCCAAGGGTTTGGGATTAACGCTACCGTTTTCGCTGCTCTAAGGTACGTACGCAGCATTATCCCAAGCTGCTGGCAGGAAAGCTCTGCCAGAAAGGCTGAGCATCTGCCCCGGGATTTCCCCTCTCTCGCTCTGCCGAGGCGGCAGGAGGCTTTGCTTTGCCCTGCGAGTACCAGGCATGGCTTACTTACGTGACTGCATACTGTGCGAAGGACAAGTACTCCACCAGAACATCCAGGCCTTTGTTTTCTTCATTCAGGAACTCCCTGACCCATCTGTTAGAAAAATCATCAGAGATCAGAGCGTTTCGTGGGCTTTGTGCGGTTACGGAGAGATCCATCGCAGGAGAGGCAGCGCTGCCGAGCGAAACTTCGCGCGTTCACGCAGGAAAAAAGGACTTTTTAAAAACACCTTTTAGTATTTAGGGGACTTTAAAACAGTCCTTTAGAGGACTCTGCAAATGTACCTTTTTGCAGCACTGTGATGGGAAAAACATTCCACCAAAAAAAAAAAAAAAAAAAGCAGAAAACCCCCTCTGCACACTCTGCATTGCTCAGGAACGAGACGCTTGCTCTTCCAACTACTGAGCCCGGGGCTGGTACGTGCCTTTCCCACCAGAGCGGCGTTGCTGCAAGAGGGCCACGGTGCACTGGTGAGCTCGGCTGCCACCCGGCTTCGCCCCAAACCCAGGCTCATCTCCCGGGCCGAGCAGGGCTTACAGCCCCCTTCTAACACACGAGTCACAGGGACCTGGTTTATTTTTTTCCACGTCCTGACCTCTAGCAGTGTTTCAAAAGCGTACAGAGAGCACGCCAGCAAAAGAGTTAAAGGCACCAAGGGTGAGATCTGACATCCTGGACGTGCGTTTAACAGTAATTTTGCTTTCTCTTTTTAAAAGATGCTCACCTATTACTGTGAGTTTTGGTCCCTGAGAATTATGCAAAATAATCTTCAATTCAGAAAAGCGTGTTATCTTCCAAAGCTTTCAAAAACTCAAAAATGCCAAGTGTAGTCTGAAAATCCATACATCTGGGGGCAAACCCAGGCAAGCAAGGAGCCTCAGCACAGCCCCAGCCCAGCTCTCCTCCGAACCTCAGCCAGGGCAGCCAAAACTCCATCAGGAGTGGGTGTTAGGGGGCACTGGAATGAGTGGGAAGCTGGGGGGGGGGAACTGGGGCTCCAGGCTCGCTCTGCCTCCGGGGTCTCGCAGCTATGGATCCCCCGCTCTCAGCAGAGCAGGAATTCACTACCTCTGAGTTATTCTAGTCTTCAGCCTTTCAATCTTCCGTTGTTTACCGGCTAAAATAAACAAGCTGGCATTTTTATAAAACGTATTTTGAAACACATCTTTCAGCCAAGTGAACCAAATAAATAAACCCTGCTTTTGTCAGCCTCCTTTCTTTATCTGGTGCCCCACGACGGCTGCTTCTGCGCACCCATGAGCCCTCATAAATCTGCAGAGTGTCATGCTTCGGATGCCCTAAGTCTTTGGTAGGGAATCTTTTGTGTTGGAAAATGAGGGAAAACATAGCAGGAGCCAGAGCAGGGGTATGGGAGAAGTTTTTTGGAAATATTTGCAATGGCGCAGCTTGCGGGAGGGTCCCCCACTGCCATGCACGCCGTCCGAGCACGCCACGCTGGGGAGCTGGCTCCCACAGAGAGGGAATGGCTGTTCTTCCCACAGTGTAAAATGCCCTTGTTTCCACAAAATAAGAGCAGTATCCTGTAAAATCGATGTAATTGAGCCGGACACAGTGTGTGATCGTGAAACAAAACGCTGAAGAAACCTTCCTGGCTCATGTGCCAGTGCTGAACCAGCTCCTGGTCCCGAGACCCAAAGCAGAGAGGTGAGACCGGTGGAAACATGGATGGGAATGGCACATTCAGTAAAAAAAAATGAAGTCTCTGCGACTCTTTTACTTTTGCTATTTGAGAGGAATTTTGTGCTTTGTGGAAGTAAAATACTGGGAATATTACCCACAGCCAGGCTTCATGAGCTGCATCATGTTAAAGCTATAAAACAGCATGGGGGGGGTTATATATGTATTTATAGCTGCAACGCTATTACTATTCTAGACACAATCGTGCTTACTGCTGCTCTGACTGACTTAGGGTGAGCAGAAGTTGACTGCAATCTTCTCGCAGCCTTCACAGAGATGTGGATGAACCCTATCATGAAAGGATTAAAGCTGAATTATTCTCCTGAGACGCCCAGCTACCCCTTAACTCAGCCCTTCAGGCTTCAACGATCAATCAAGTGGCATCACTGCTTGGCATGCCAAGAGGTATTTTCTCAAAGGCATCCATCAGTAGATGTAAAAAAATAAAAAATCTTAGGCCAGAGGTTGTCAAAAATTCTTACCCGATGTGATTTGTTCTTAAAGAAATTTCCAGTTCTCGGAGTACTTGAGTAGACTCTTGGACTCGTCTTCTGAATTTCTGTAATCAAGTGAGCAGACAAAAATAACAATTAGGCTCATGTAATGCTATTACAAATATCAACATCTCATGCAGCGCAGACTGAATAAATAAAACATTAAGGTAAACTGAGAACCCCTCCAAATCCTGAGGAATGCAACAACAGTCCAGCAGTCAACAAAAACACGCGCAAAAGAATAACTTCTGCTCCCATGCACATTTTTGAGTTTCCAGGATTAAGAAAATTAAAAGCCTGTAGATAAATAAACATTTCTTTATAACACAAGCTTTGGTTTAGCATCAAGCTCTCCATTGAGAACTACAGCGTTTGGGTTTCATTCTCAGCCCTTTCACAACTTTACACCCACACCGAAGAACCTGCCGGGATTTCTGTATAATTACCAAACCTGTGGGTGCGAGCCAATGACGAAATACTCATGTGCTGCCATCTGCATGCTTTAATAATCTGTGCATGCTAAATTGTATCTGCAAACTTAGATGCTGGGAAAAGGCCATAAAGCGTCAGAAGTGAAACACTGGGCAGCAACGCAGCAGAAAGGAGATGAGGCTTCGTGTCATCACACCAGCTGAATATGAGCCAGCAGGGTGCCCAGGTGGCCAAGAAGGCCAATGGCATCCTGGCTTGTATCAGGAATGGTGTGGCCAGCAGGAGCAGGGAAGTGATCGTGCCCCTGTACTCGGTGCTGGTGAGGCCGCACCCCGAATACTGTGTTCAGTTTTGGGGCCCTCACCACAAGAAAGACGTTGCGTTGCTGGAACATGTCCAGAGGAGAGCCACAAAGCTGGGGAGGGGTCTGGAGCACAAGGCTTACGAGGAG